TGAATGCTAGACTTGAGAGACTGAATGATTTTCTCGGAGGCGCTTGTACGGTATGGCCCGTTTGGGATAAGTTATCGAGGAACAGCTGCTTTTTCTGTGGGTCAACCCTGGAGCTCCCCTGGCTAACATAAGTACACAGACGCCCAGAATGCCGAACTTTACGCCAGTGATGTCCAACTCTCCAGACAGCTATCTTGTGCTCGAAGGCAACTCGGAGGTGGGCGACATGTTGTGGAACAGCTCAAAGCACGTGGCGATAATGTCCGAGCCGATATTCTTCCAATTCCCACAACGAAGTCAATTTCTACCCAGGGGACATTTGCGTCCTAGACCAAATATCCAGTGCAATTGAAAAGGTAGGCTTGATCGGCTTGTCTCCATTCGCAACTCAGCCCACGGAACCAGACTCGCGCGACATGTATCATTCACACAATCTCGCCTCTATCCCTCAGGCACCCCAACAATCTCCAGATTTTCTACCAGGTCAATGTTGAAGGAACCAGAAATGTGATTCAAGCGGCCAAAGCTGCAGGTGTCCGCAAGCTTGTATACCATACCAGTTGTGGCGTTGTATTCGACGGCCACGAGATCATCAACGGCGAAGAAACCGTTTGCCGTATGCAAAGAAACATTTGGACCCTTATACAGAGTCTCGAGCTCTAGCAGAACAGCTTGTTATTGCTGCAAATGACAAGCAAGGCCTCCGGACTGTTGCAATTCGTCCAAGCGGTATATTTGGGTAAGTCCCAAGCTGATTTCTCTCTCGTATACCATTTTTTTATTTCTTACTTTCTTGATTAGTCCTGGAGATCGAGAACTTATTGTTGGAGCGTACGACTCGCGGAAACCCGGAATGACCAACGTCCAGCTAGGCCATAACAAAAATATCTGCGATAGAACTTATGTGGGAAATGTAGCTCTCGCCATGTTACTGGCGGCAGACATGACTCCTCAGTCTCTGACCAGCTGCAGGTCCCCGGGGAGGTTTTCTTCATCAGAAATGACGATCCCAGATTTTTCTGGGATTTTATGCGGGCTCTGTGGTCCAGATTACTTAGTCCGGTTACCGACCCTCTATGAGGGACTACCGAGAGGTTCCTCCCGTCACCAAAAACTTCTCCCGTAGAGAGGCTGGTTACGAGCCTAGGTCCAGATTTGACGAAATCTTTCCTGAACATCCCAAGAATCAAAGGCCAATAGTGATTCCTCGCGCGCTGGCTTTCTTTCTCGCCTGCCCATGAAATTCATCAGCTGGTTGAAGGGAAGCAAGGAGCAAACCCTGACACCTTATACCGTCAACTTTGCAACGGCGTCAATGCATTTCAACATTTCCAAGGCTAAGCATGTTGGAGTCGACGAAGGATTGAAGAAAAACGATGAAGGTTGGTCATTGTTATCTGGTCATCTCGATTTGTCCTCACTGCTTCCAGTGGGTCAAACTGAGGCGTGAATCTAGAAGAAAGCCTGAGCTCTCTTCATGCTAAGTAATAAAGGATCGGACGGAGTTCAGGAAATATACGGTGCCGCTCAGCGAGGAAAGTTCTAGCACTCATATTAAGCCGTCACTGCCACTGAGTGACGTAGAGTCTGATAAATCTCTTCTTGTAGTTTCCTATAATGAAAATATTTCCTTCTCGTAGTTTCTGGTCAGTTCGAGCACGACAATCAAACAATTACAAGTAGTCAGCTGCTTTTGTTGTTTCCCAAAATGGACGAAATGGACGAGACTGAGACCCTTCCCCCAACGCTCCAAAATGTGCTTGATCAGACCTCGTTGAAGTGGATCTTCTGCGGTTCGTCTCGACCCTGTTCCTTGCCCAAACTTTGACCGGAATACATATCTTCAGGCGGGAAAGGTGGTGTCGGCAAAACCACTACATCTTGTTCACTGGCAATTCAGCTTGCCAAATGTCGCGAGAGCGTCCTACTCATTGTACGTGTCGACTTCCAAGCATATTCATCATTTCATTCACCTCGAAAATCAGTCCACTGACCCCGCCCACAATCTCTCTGATGCCTTTGGTCAGAAATTCTCCAAGGATGCAACAAAAGTCGGTTTGGCTCTTTCTCGGACTGATTCCTTGCTGACCCTTCTAGGTGAATGGCTTCGAGAACCTCTTTGCGATGGAGATTGATCCGACCAGTGCAATTCAAGAGATGGTCGAACAGTGTAAGTCTTGGGCTTCTCTAGGCGCCGGTCCTTCTACTTACGAGCCTGCAGCCGATACCAATGGAATGATGGGTTCGATGATGCAGGACCTTGCGTTTGCAATCCCTGGTGTCGATGAAGCAATGAGCTTTGCAGAGATTATGAAGTATGTTTTTCTTCTGCGTCTGCTTCTTCTCGTTGAATGGCTTTCAGACACGTCAAATCTATGGAATATTCTGTCATTGTGTTCGACACTGCTCCTACTGGCCATACCTTACGATTTCTTTCATTCCCGACTGTGCTAGAGAAAGCATTGGGCAAACTGAGTGTTCTGGGCTCTAGATTTGGAGGCATGATTGGGCAGATGTCTGCCATGATGGGTGGCGACGCTGGTTCACAAGACGACATGTTCGCGAAGCTGGAATCAATGCGAGCCATTATCACAGAAGTTAACACACAGTTCAAGGACCCAGTACGTATTCCGTCGCCTTTTATCTCTCTCCCGCTCAGAGTCTGTCCTCCAGGAAAAAACCACTTTTATCTGCGTCTGCATTTCCGAATTCTTATCGCTCTACGAGACGGAGCGTCTGGTACAAGAACTCACCAACTATGAGATCGATACACATAACATTGTCGTTAATCAGCTGCTCTTCCCGAGCAAAGGTCAGTCAAGACATTCGCTCCTTGAATGGTGTGTCAACTTTCAACTTTTGCAGACTCGACATGCACACATTGCTCTGTCCGTCAGAAGATGCAGCAAAAGTATCTGAATGAAGCATACGAGCTTTATGAAGAGTTTTTCCATATCATCAAGCTGCCCCTGCTCGTCGAGGAAGTTCGGTGAGCATCCATTTTGAACGTATTGTCCATTTCTTACATCCGTTTAGCGGTCCGGAGAGGTTAAAAGAATTTAGCAAGATGTTGGTAGAACCGTATCAGCCGCCTTCATAGACCTATTTTGTTTTGACAAGTCAGAGACTGGTCTCCCTCTATATTCAGCATTTGGTCATCGTGTAAAATGTTCTGTGCTTGTTCGGAAAGATCAGGATCGTCGCCTCCCGCGATAGTAGGGAGATCCGCTGACAAATCACGTCTTTGTTCCTCCATCATGGACTCGAATTGTAAATTCTGTGGCAATTCACCTGAAGAAGAGCCTGGTATTGACGCCAAAGAGCTCCTCCAAACACTTCCTACACGCGTCCAGGAATTGCTCAGTTCCGGCTGCCCGCCTTTACCAGACCAAGAGACCGCTGATCTAACAAGTGTCCTGGTCGACAAGTCTCGAAAATTGGAAGAACTGGAAAGCAGGATTGCAGAGATGCGGGTAGAGTTCAAAGTATTGTTGGAAGAGAGGGCACGGAAACAACACGAACTGGAGGCATACAAAGCGGTATTGCACCCAATTAGACGATTACCCGACGAGGTTTTGTGCGAAATATTCCTCTCTTTCGTCGACGAGGACCTTGAGCAGGAATCCAGCTCACTGGATTCTTCCTTGATGCCTTGGCTCATACCTCGTGTATCCAGCCATTGGCGGGCAGTTGCTTTAGAGTTGCCCAGACTTTGGTCAACGATAAGGATACCTGCAGAGGCTTTTACTCCATCGAACAAAAATTCGCTGAGCCGACTATTGTTCATGCTCGGAGTTCAGATTCATCGCTCTGGCTCACATCCATTGTCAGTGGCTCTTCTGAGTCTCCATGACATTCCACAGTATCATCCCATCGTCTGTCAGCTACTTCCTTCTTCGCCGCGATGGAAGAAATTCCACGCGGGGATCCCTTTCCATTCACTCGAGTCACTGGCTCCATTGACAGCCTTCCTTCCATCCTTGGCTGAGCTTCATCTCCGAGCAGAGGCCAGAGCTCCAACTCCAGAAGAGATTCGCTCATCTACGATTCATACAGTATTCAAAATCGCACCTTCCTTGCGAACCCTTCTCGGGGATCCAAGAATACTTGCTCGATGTCAGCTGCCTTGGTCTCGAATCACCGACTATCGATCCTCCTGGACCATACCTTATTATTCTTCCGACCTTTTACAACTTTTTAGCTGCTTGACCGATCTACAGCGATGTCATATCGTCTACGTCGACGGTATTGACTATCGAAATTTTCCAGAGCCCTTGCAGCTCAACCACCTCACCGAGCTTTCACTCCAAAAAGCAGTTGATACCCCCATCATTCCGCCTTTGCTCGACTATCTTTCTATCCCAGGTCTCTCCAAGTTGGAGCTCCATGGGCTAACGGAAATCACCAGTCTGCTATCCTTTATCGAGCGGTCCTCGTGCTCCATCGAGGAGCTGCACTTGGAGTCACAAATTCTCAGCGATGATGACTGTCTTCGCATTCTCGTTCGCAATCCTTCACTGACTTCCTTGACATTGGATTGTCCCATGACATATACCGAGAAGTTCATGGATCGTTTTATTGGGCTCGGAACATTCCTTCCGTCGCTGCAATTTCTCCAATTGCATAACGATATCCCATATGAACTACCAGATTTTATGATCCTGAAGCAAGCTCGACCTACGTTGGCTTTTGTGGCTGGACCTTTTGCAATGCGATGACATGGATAGTTCAAGTAGTCCCTCTCACTCTTCACCCATGTATTCTTGTGACTTGTCTATATGTATTTCCGTAAAAGGAGTGTAACCTCTTATGTTGGCATACATGCAGATCCAAGGGTTCACATATAGCAACTGAAGATCTTCTCCCAATTGCGGCTTGTGGAGCAGAGGACTCTCTGCCAGCCCAACAGAGCCAAACATGTCGGGTCGGATCAGGTTACCCGTTGCGGAAACTGAAAATGGTCCTATCCTCGTGAGCGCGCGTATATGGCAGCTTTCTGTGGTGACATGGCCGAGTGGTCCAAGGCGCTGGAATTAGGAAGAATCCGAACATCCAGTCCGAAAGGGCGTGGGTTCGAACCCCACTGTCATCATTTAGCTCTTTTTGACGTTGAAACTCGAGGAATAATAGGCTGGGTTTATATATCTCTTTTGGCACAGAATATTAGGATGGCTCCGGTCCCGGAAGACTGTTTTATAGCGTGGGTTCGAACCCCAGTGTCATCATTGTGGCGCGGAAGCCACCAGCACGCTGATTTCGTTCCCGAGTCGTGACCGGGTTCAAATGGAACAGGATCAATCCTGGATAACTCATGCTTGGTTTCCAGCCAGAGGCCCTGTCTGGGAAAGGCAGGAAGGGCGCTGGTATCATCATTGAACTCTTTTGTGGCGCAGAATCCCGAGAAATATTTTCCCCGGAAAGCGCACTCAAGTCCAAAGTCCAAATGGACGAAAATCATGAACTTACGCACTGTCCAGCTGCAGTGGGTTCAAACCCCACTCCTGTCATCATCCATCACCTCCTACTTGCAAGTCCCAGATCATAATTCACGCTCGATGTGCAGTTCGAGGTGGCATTGTACATTTGAATATACGCTGCTCTTGCCTGAGCAGCGATTAACTAAAGCACATACACAATAAGAAAATTTCGTAAAGTCATAATAATATAGAGAGCTCATATGGCCTTCAAGTTCAACCGCAAACGAGCTCTCTCCAGTGGAGTCAAAGTATCCTCGCCCATAGCTGATGCTTGGGTCAATTTCATGTAAAGCTGGAGCTGAAGAAACTCACAAGTGCTAGAATCGGCCATAGACATATCGCCGTCTATCGGTGTATTGGATGGACCGGCCTCGTCTTCACCATAGTCTTGAATCCGCTTAGGAATCATCGATTTGCGTCGCTGATGCTGTAGCCATGTGAGCAGGATTACAGCGAGAAGACGATTGCTTACCTTGATCACTCCAGCCACGTTGACACCAGTTAGATCGACTAGCCAAGGTGTTTCTTCAACATGGGCACCAGCTTCGGCGCATGTCACGACCCAAGTCATACCGACGACGAGAGGTTTAGGATCACTCAAGGATCTTGCAAAAGTCAACCTATATTCGTCACATTCAAGAAAGTAGCTCACCGATACCGATTCAAAGTGCTCGTAAGGCCATTCTTGTAGACAATATGAGTACAAGACTGGACGGCATTCTTCATGATCTAGGAAAATGATCAGACAAGTCAGACGAGCTAAATGAACATACTCGAGCCCCAAGACCTTGAAGCAGCTCAATCATGCCTTCACTGATATCTTCACCAGTCAAGCTTCGAACGTCGACAAAGACTCGACAGTCCTTCAAGACAGTTAATGTCGGTCCCTTGACTTGTTTACTGGGTGCACTTTTTGCCACTGCTACCGGGACCAGTCCACCACTTTGAGAAGTCTCGCCCGAGGGTGCAGATGACGGATATTGACTGCTAGAGCTTCTCAGATTTCTAAGCCCTTCTCGACGAGGCGGTGTCACCGGCGGTCCCATAGGCGTTGGCGCAGGAAGTGCACTGAGAGAGCGAGAAAGCTGCTCTGACGCTAGTGATGCACGACCAAGATGCGGTTTCATTCGAGGATTCTCTTCAATCTTCTCTCCCAATTCAGCAAGCTGCATCTCAATGTTGATAAAGTGGACTGTGGGTTTGGAAGGATCATCTTCGACTGAACCTTTCACTGGACTCGCCATGACACTGGGTAAACTTGGATTACGACTGACTTTCTGCATCGTTCGGCCAGTACCCATGATTGAACCTGTGCCAACAAGAAATGTTCTTCCAGGTGGCCTGTTAAGGATTGATTTGGGACGAGCAACACCCGAACGAGGAAACTGCGGTTTCGGATCAGCTACTGACTCGAGCGATGATTCGCCACTGGACAGGCCACTGACGGTCGACGAGCGCTTCAATGACATTCGACCGAGAGCACCATCGTCGTGGCTCTTCAGAGTTTGAAAATCGAAACTCGTGTCGCTGTCGTCGTCTGGATTGAAACCCATGCTGGTACTTGGTCGAGCTGGTGGAGGCATAGCTAATTTCTCCAAAGCATTCGAAAGCGTGAAAAGTGTAGATTGCGCTTCTCCAGCATGCGACTCGAAGGTGCGATAAACTGTGTCTATATAATGTTAATTTTCATTCGTCCGTTTAACAAAAGTTGATTCACCTCTGGTAGTATATGCTGATGAGGACCTGGAAAGCTTGGTAGGTGAAGGAGAAGAATTGGACTTGAAGGGAGAGCGGGGTTTGGTCGGCGTCTTGGGCAAAGCATCTCGAGTCCGACTCTTTGTCGGGACAGGAAGTTTCGCAGGTGAACTCATGACCTTCATAGAAGCATCTTCGTCGTCGTCTGTTGGACTGGAAAAAGCCATTCGCTTACGGACTGGACAAAAAATAAGCAAATCAAATGTGTGATGAAAATCGCGAACGAACCAGGATCGTCGTCGTCTTCAGCTCGACGCTTTGTGGAAGTGCTTCGTGTCGTGCGAGGAACACTAGTCGCAGTGGATGCAGCTCGCTTTCTCCCTGCAGGACGCTTGGGTTTCTGGACCACAGTCGGTGGCTTGGACTGCTTCGCATTGTCAGTCTTCATTGGCGACGCTGCTGGTGGCGAAACTTCATCATCCGAGTCGACCAGACTTGAAAGCGGTGATAATGGCGGCTCAATGTCCGGAAGTTCATCGGTCGGAATCACCAACGGACCCATCGGTGCGTCGACGGTCGGTGACAAGACAACTTCACAAGATTGGACCTCGTCCTGTAATTCATCAAGGCTCGATAGTGGGGATTCCATTCCAATATCAGACGTTGGAAGCCCATTCTCCAATCCAGTTTCCTCGACAGTCGGCAGTAAGGATCCCTTTCCATCCTCAAAAGATTGGATCCCATTGACAGATTCCACAAGGTTCTCCTGGATGCTCGATAGTGCAGATTCCATTGCAGTGTCGGATGGTTCGAGCCTATTGCATAATCCAGGTTCCTCGACTGTGGACAAAAGAGAATCCTTTCCAACCTCGGAAGATTGTACCTCTTTCATGGATTCCTCGAACGTCTCCTCGACCCTCGATAGCGCATATTCCCTTCCAATGTCGCCATTGCCCAACCCATGTTCCACGACTTCCACTGTCACCGGTTCCGCTGTCTCGACCCCTTCCATGGGTACTGACGCTGCTAAATTAGGTTCATTCTTTAGAACAACCTCGCTCGATCCAGGTGCAATTATTGTTTCGGAGTGCTGGACAGAGGAAAGAGAAACCACCATCCCAGATCGGTCCAGAGATGTGACGAGCTCTGTCGCTGTGTCGATAAAGTTGACCACATTCGAAGGTCCGGGAGATGGGCTCCTTCGACTCTCTTCTTCGTCCTCTTCTACAAGAAGAGGGATAAGCTTCTTGGGTTTCTCTCTAGGTCGCATGCTGTCCTTGACAGATTTGCGATTGCTGGGTCCACCAGGTTTTGAAGGTGTGAATATATTCGGGACCTTTTGCGAGGAAAAGACAGGTTTCCCCTTTCCTTTGGACGAATCAGAGGCGCGAGCACCCATCATCACATCGAATGCATTAGGTCGTACTGGAGGTGCTGGAGGTGGTAGGATTGTTTTGCTGGATGAAGCGACGGGTATAGAGGTCGGTTTTGCACTGTTTTGTCGACGAGGAAGGCGACTAGGTTTGTCCTTGGCCTATAGGGGACATAAGAACAGGATATTAATTCTCCGAGAGAAAACGTTTACCTTGACAACATTTGTAGGTGGCCCTGGAACGACGCGTCTTGGGGGAAAAGGTGTTTCCGGAACCGGGGTCAGAGGCGAAGATTCCATGACCACATCGAGCGGCGGTTTCTGGGGTGTTTGGGGAGCAGGCGCGTCTGGTTGAATCGAAAGCTTGAATTCCCTAAAAGGAGAGAGGGGGCGTGATGATGAGCGAGGTTGCTGATTGAAGTCGATTTTTGGGACTGAAGCCGAGGGTGGAACTGACTGAGCTCGCTGAGCTCTTGACGGGGTATATTCCTGTTTCAGACGCTTGGACAGACGGTCGTCGACAGAGTTCTCGCGAGATGCTGATCGCTTTCTCATAGATCGCTGATCCTCCAGGACCTCTTCAACTCCATTTCTGGCCGCTGTTCTAGCTTCCTTCAAGGGCGACCTGCTGAGATGGAGGTCTGTTTCTGGCAATGTATACTGAGACCGCGTTCGCCTTTCGCTGGTCTCTGACATTAAGACCAAAAGATTGGGAGATTAGAAAGTCAAAGTGAACTTAGATTTTCGTCATGTGATACCGTGACAATGTTCTTCAAATTCAGTCGCACAACCCAACGACTTTGTTGGAGTCGACTGCTTTCGACTTCGTCTCCAACGTACGTGAAACAATACTAAAGGTTATCCTATGTCGAAACTGGAGCAAAGACAGACGGAACCAGTTCAATCATCCTCCGAAATCCATCCTCATTGTCAACAAATTAAGGACTCAACCAGTCATTCTCGCAATTGACGCCTTTCTCGAGTCAGCGACCTCCTCTGTCAGTATTATCATCTTCTGATTGCTGCAGACATGTACACTCGACATACCCAGACGTCAGGGTTTTTCATGAGGACAGAGCAGATATTCCTCACGGAGCTGAAGTCTGGCAGCGTGGTCCGTCAATTTCCTGGAATGCGCTTTACCTGTCTGACTTTTTAACAGCAAAGTCTGATAAAATAGACTTGGTGGTCACGCTCGGAGGCGACGGCACTATTCTTCATGCTTCGTCGCTTTTTAGCGCTGGCGCAGTCCCTCCGGTCCTCAGCTTCTCCATGGGAACATTAGGCTTTCTTCTGCCTTTCCGTACGTTGCTTTGATATGCTCAAGGTTCTTCCATAACCTTGCTACAGATATCGATGATTTTGCCAAAGCATTGGAAAGCGTCTTTCAAGGAAAGGCCACCATTCTCAACAGAATGCGACTAGCTTGCACTTTCTACAATGCAGATATGGCTCAGAAGGAGATCGAGGGAGACGGTTTGATCCTTGCAAGTGATGAACCTGGCCCGGCTTGGCAGGTCATGAATGAAATTGCTTTGCATCGCGGAT